AATTTTGCAAAAAAGAAAAAAAGGGAAAAAAGAGAGAAAAATTAAAAATAACCCACCACTATTCTATCCTACAGATAAAGTTGGTGAAATGGCTCTAGCATCTTTAAAAAGAGTTTGCCCCAAAAAAAGCATGCCTAGGGAGTCATTGTGACAGTGCAAAATACATTTATGTACATCCCTCTTACAAAAACACCAATATGTTAGCATTCCGGGAAGCATGCTAATTTTCAGAATTTTTTTCCCTATAACAGAGTGAAATAGCAGCTCCGAAAGATAGCTTTTTTTTTTTCTTTTCTTTTCTTCAGGACAAACGAAAAAAGAGGGTGGGGGATTTTCTTTTCTCTTTTGAACTACTAGAATCATCACTACTACAGACAGATATAAAAGCAGCATAGAAAGTTACAGGTTTCTCACCTACTAGTAATAAAGAAGACTAAATGTGAGCATGGTTAACTACAATGCATTTCCACATTTGTCCCAACACATTTACAAGAAAAAACACCATTGGGAAATCTCACAGGACAGAAGTGTTTTAACATCAAGAGAACTACTAGATTTTTCCCCATTTTAAATATATTTTTCATTATAAACCCAGACAGGATGGGATGGAAAGAATTTGGAAGGATTCTGGAGCTGGAGTCACCATTTATCATTGCCGTTGATACAAAAATGAATGGAATAGACCCGATTGTCTTACTTGTGGAACCTTGTAAAAAAATTTGAAGCTTTCTTGGGGAGAGGAAACAGGGGAAGGGGTAGAGACAGCTGGTGGACATTGTAGCTGCCAAAATACTAATTAACTGCAGGCCGTGCCCTTAATTCTGTACTAAAAAGAGAAAAAACTCACAAAGAACACCCCAAAAACAAACAAACAAACAAAAAGAATGGAAATGGAGCCGTTTGTACGATGGCAATTTTTTCCCCTTTGCTGCTGTTAAAGTCCTATATCCCACTGCAAATCATCTTCCATTTTTCATTCTGCTGACCTGGATATTATAATTTCATTCAGAAACAAGAAAAAATGAACATCTGTGTCTCCTTCCAATCTGCTGCACATCTGCGTGTTTTTGATGCGGGTCTTCAGAGTTCAGTCAGTAACCCATGGACGCTATTCAACTTCTTATTAAAATGTCTGCTGCTTTATCCAATGCTTGTGCCCTTGAGGGTTTTTCTTTCTTTCTCTCTCTCTCTCTCTCTCGCTTAAAAAAAAATATCCATTATTGTTATAAAGAACATTGTGACTTTATATTATTAGCATTTTTGCTTTCAACAGCAATTAGCAATCTCTTGGTTTGCTGTTTGGTAAAGCATCTGTTAATGAGGTCATCTAGTTTAAAATCCCAGCTACTGGAAAATAACAGGGAGGAGGTCAAATCTATCATTTTGTGTGTGTGTGTCCATGTGTTAAATTATCTGCTCTTCTCAGTTTTCTAAAGAAAAGGTATCTTTGTTATCCAGAAGAAGTCATTATGACCCGTTACTGGCCTTCTGTATTTTACGTCTACCTCAAGATACAGTATAAGTTCTTTTGTAGTATTGAAATATGACAGTTCAGTAAAAAAATTTGAGCATCTGAGGATGAGGAATTTTGTTTTGTATTTTGTTTGCTTTTGTTTTAAGTAGTTCTGTGTTCATTCCTAGCGAGGAGTGGCTTCTATGGTGGATGGAGTTCCAGGGGTGTTTGACCTAGGAGTGGCTGCTGGTGGTGTGTCAATGGGGCTCCCGGCTCCACTGTTGGGTGTTGCAGAGGAACTGACTGCTGGTGTCTCTCCTTGCTGCTGGGCCTGAAGCGTCTGTCCACAGATGTGGTGATGTTTCTCCCAGTCCTTATGTTGGCAAAATGAGCCACAGTATCGCGCCGTATTGCAACCGCTGCAGGTTTCACTAGCTTTCCGGCCACAGTTCCAGCAACTCTGTAGGGAAGGCAGAGAGGGGTGGGGGGGGGTCAATAATTTGGCTGGCATTTTTGACTTCACTATAGCTTAAGGAATCACTATAACGTATGTGTTAACCTATTGTTGGTTTAGCTAAAGGTTTTTAAAATTTAAAATGGAAAGCAACTGTGTTGACTACTTGCACGCAAGCAAAGTTTGACACTTCTTTTTTTCTCCCCAGTTGCAGACAAACTGTTTTGAAAACCCAAGAGAGTTGGTGATACAAGAACAGGGAGTTGGGGAGGAGCCGACTGCAGTTGCCGGCATGTAAGCTTACACATACAGCAGTGAAAAGGGCCTTAGGATTGTGGCCACAGACAAGCATCTATAATGGTCCACATGCTATAAGCCTTCTGGATTTTAATTGTTCATAGAAAGACAGATCCTTGCCATACATACTCCCTTATATTGAATCAGAGAGTTGGTCCATCCACCTCAGTTCCATCTACACTGATTGGTGGTGGGTCTTCGGGATTTCAGACAGGTCTAGTTGAAACTACCACAGATTGAATCTTGGACTTTCTGCATGCCAAACATGTGCTTTACCACTGGGCTATGGACCTTCCTATACAAATAGGGTTCAGCAATGAGAAGTGTTTCTGTTGTCTCTGTGGTCTTACCAAAAGTGCAGCACTGATTTTCCAAGACATATTACTAAAAGCAAAAGTAACAGTAGCCAGAAGCTACTTACATCTAACACTTAAAAGTAAAGAAACTGATGGGCCTCATTTGTAGGCAGTTCCAGTACAGCTGCACCAGTGCTGAGTAGGCTCTGCTTTGGATTACCATCATTAGAACTTCCAGAGGAGGAGGAGGTACCCAAAGCAAAGGCAGAGCCTTTTTAATGAAAGACTGGGAAGATTCATGATGAAGTTAGCATTTGAAATATACTGAACCCTTGCCATTGAGAGAACCCCTGAAATAGTGGGCTGCCTTCCCTCATGGGTAATCTACTGCAGCTTCAATAGGTGGGGTCAAAGCCAGAGGTAGGCAGGGCCACTGAATCGAAGAAATATAGAATCATACAATAGTAGAAATGGAAGTGGGGAGAGAGCCATCAGGTCCAACCCCCTGCTCAGTGCAGGACTCCCAGTTAAACCACCCCCTCAGATGTCTGTCCAGCTGCATGTGGAATGCCTCTAGTATGGGAGAGCCCATCACCTCCCGAGGTCACCGGTTCCATTGTTGTACTGCTCTGACAGTCAGGAAGTTCTTCCTGGTGTTCAGCCAGCAGTGCACTGCCAGGGAAGGGCCAGATTTGTCTTGACAGAAGGTTGTACCAACTGCATGTGGAAGTCTTTTGAAATTACTCTGACGGCTTCATGAAATTAAGCTGACATTGGCAGGTTACTCTAAACAAGAGAAACCCCACATATTCACACGATTCTGGGTGGCAGCAGTAGCTTTTCCTAAAAGACATATGGTAACATGCCAAGTCTTGTAGAGACTTAATTGGCATTTTCAAAAGATCAAGATCAACCTGGGCTTTCCATCATGGCAACTGATTTCTAATCTGGTAATTCTTATAACTTTTACTTGCCATTTATTGTTCTGCTATATTTATATATGATTGCATTTAATTGGTTTCTAAAGTTATATTTTGTGGTATCAGCTGTTTAAATTGAATTTGATATTTGTTTATTAAATTTTTAAAAATGTAAGCCCACCTTTCAGGACTCATGTGCACCCTCTCAAGGTGATTTACAAAAGCTCTAAAACTGATACAACTAAAAATACAGGAATTACAATTTCAGTATTTGAAATCATGATATTAAATAGAAGCATGGAAAGTAAGCTATCCAATTCATCACTTTGAAAAAAAAATCCATAAACAACAAGTTCTAATGTGTGCATTGTAAGGACTGCATGCACAGTTATGCTACCACCAGTGAAATGAGTACTGAAAGCTACCTTCATGAGGTTTCTGGACTTCCCTAAGCTGAAACTGAATGCACAAATCAAGCTGCTGGTGGGTTTCCATTGTAGGTCAAGCAAGCAAGGTTGCATTGGTGGAATTCATTTCTTTTTATTACAAAAGGGATTGTATTTGAACAGCCAAAGTTCCTTCCCTACTTGCATTTCATGGCATCCTCAATTTCTGCTCCCTTTCGCTCCCTGCCAAATGGGAAGCCACCAGAAAGGATGCCTGCTGCTCACTTCCCTCCAGCTTTGCAATGCCAGCTGGATGGCTGGAGCAAAGCCAGCCGATAAGTGAGATTCCTAAACTACAACAGAAATCCCAATTACCAGGAAAGAACAAAGACCTAAATCCAAAACACTGTTTTAAGGAAATTAAACATTTAATCGGAGTCAAGTGGCTTCTTTAGAAAACAGTCCCAGTGTTAGATTTACTCTCTCTTTTTGGCACAGGAATACTTTGGCAGATGCGAGAATAGTTAAGTGTCCAATGCTCATTGTGCTCCCCCCCTCCCGTCGCCCCTTGTTAGATTGAAATCAGATGTATGCAGCATTTCTAACTCAACTCATACCGATTAAGCATGGAGACTAAACTAGGTAATTACAAATGTATGAATTGGGGGGAGGGTGGTATTAACAAAAATTGTTCCCATCTTTTAAAAAAATCTTCTTAAAAGGTGGAATTACCAACATTGAGAAACAGATGTTTTTTAGTGTTTAAATGGTTGGAATACAGTCTCCTTGTCTATCATCAGCTGGCTTTGATTCACTGTCCATGGTTTCAGATTTATTCCACTTACATTTCAGATTGTAGAAGGTTCATCACAGTTTTTATACATTATTTTATTTTGAAAATAAAAGATAATCAGAATGAAAAAGAAGTTTCCAAAATTGCAAGTGTCACAACAATGGGAGATTTCCTATAGTACATAGAACACAGATTGTGCTGAGTTTACTATTAAGCTCATGATACTTTAGTTGCAAACCACCAAATACTGCAACTGTATAGTTCCATTCAATTCCATAAAGCCAAAGCAAGACTTCTATCCAAACCTCACTGAATGGAAATGACTGTTGCAGCTGTTACTAGTATTTTCTGTGTCCCAGGAATGCTCTTATGGCTATACCTTCCCTCTGGAAACCAGCATC